GTATTGTATCAATATCAACAACATAAATTGGGCTAGATAGGCCTATCTAACAATGAAGTACTGTATCACAATGAACAGACGGCACTCATGAGGAAAGTACAAGAGCTTGGCACAGGTCAAATATTTTTACACAAGGATGATATGGGGCCTACTTGAGTAAAGTGAATTAAGGCAGGCTAAATAGGCAAGTGCTACAGAAACTAGATAAGCTAGAATTGGGTCCTCGTGTGGGAATGTACTAATATGTCTGCCTCAGTTAATGACGATGCCTGTTCTTTTGGAAAACTGTGGACTAGACAAAGCTCATGCCTCGACAACGTGAAATAGTAAGCAGATCAACGAGTTGACTATTTACGTTGACCAGCAATCCGGCGTAAGCATAGCCACTATATAATGCTTACGCCAGCCCTGTGCATGCTTATTCGGCGTAAGCATAGCCTCAAATAATGCTTACGTCACCCCTGCGCATACTCAATAGATCGGCGTAAGCATAGCCTATGACTAATGCTTACGCCTCGGCGTAAGCATAGACACTTCCTTAAACATATCGTTTTTTGAAAATGATTCGATATTAGGCCTATTATGTTTCTCTAGGCCTGTAATAACACCAGTTTAGACCAGTTGGTCGAAATCTATTTTACCGAAACCTATGCATATATAGCCTAACGAATAATGCTATTCGGCCAGTCCCTTGATGTGTTTTTCTTTTTCAGCAGATTTGAAAGCTGTGAGCAGCGTGACCACTCACAATTTTGGATATACCCAATGGCTGAGTCGACATTACCCAAGATTCAGCAAAAATTGCCCAAAATTACCCAAGCTTCCTGAAAATGCATTAAAATTTGAAAAATACGTGTTTTTCGCATGTATAATTTTCCCTTTTAGTTCAATTTATAAACCAATTTTTATTGTAATTGTTTGTGTTAATTATTAAAATTAATATTCATGAGGGGATCAAGTTTTATTATGTAATGCATTAATTAGGTAAGATCAATGGCAACGCAAATCACAAATAAACAATTCTGAACCCATGTTTATAGCAATTAACAGTCAATTAACAATGTTATGCGCATTTCGTTGAGTTTTGATTACTTGATTGCACTGAAATATACTTTGTTACTTCTTAATTCTTCCTCTATGACAAAAATATTTAAATTTTCTTAGTAAAAATAAAATACCCAAGGATTTGAACGGAATACCCAAGAACCCAAGACCAAGTCAAAATACCCAAGATCTTGGGTAAATACCCAAGCAGTGGTCACGCTGGATGTGAGGCAGGTGCTGATAGGCTACGAACGCACGCACTTCAAAATTGATGTTATTGAACATTCATGGCGCCCCATAGTATATGAGGTGAACATTTGACCAATCAGAACAACGTATATCAGATCTTGATCCTTCTCTCTTCATTCAATCGATTTCTGAAAACGTAGCGTAGATTTAGAGCCTTTACGGTTTGTTTGGTTTTTTTTTTTTTTTAGCCTTGTTTGCCTAGCCTACATCAATTTGTTCATAATAAAAAGTAAGCATTTAATTAATTTAGTGTTTGCTTTTGAACTAGGCCTAAGCCTAGGACCTAGTCTATCTACCTATATCTAGGCCTAGGCTAGTAGTAGGCCTAGGCTGGGTTATGATACTTACTCACGCTCCTCTAGACTAGCTCTAGCCACACAGGAGTGTACGTTAATCAAAATCTCTTTCAGTTCTCTTCCAGTATAAATAAGCCTAGGGCCTAGGCCTAGCCTGCTAGCCTACTAGGCATAGCCTGCTAGCTAGCCTACTACTAGGCCTAGCTACCTAATAGGCCTAGGGAGGGCTTGATGTATTTAGAGGCATAGGCCTAGCCCCCCCCCCTCCCAGAAGGCGTGCTTATGCAAATAAAAACTATGAGCTAAAAAAACCTTTATCGCCGTCCCTGCCTAAACTTTTTTGACTAAACCTAGGCCTAGGCCTAGAAAGTGGGAAACCCCCTTTCAAAATGTACATTTTAATAACATCAAAGCAGTAGTAGGCCTATTACCGAAACATTACTGTTTGTTAATGTAAGAAGACAATTAAATCTGCCCAAGTATTGAAGAACTGCTCTGATGATATCCAGTTAAATTAGAAGAATGCTACCGGTGCTTATTAGAGGAGGGCCCTCCAGTGCCCCTTTGGACTAGGGGCCGGGGCTTGAGAGCCCATAGGTGAACTGACGCCACTGCTGATAATGGATATTCTTGTTCCCAAGTATAGGTAAAGTGCTCGAGAGCATCACTGACAATAAACTAAATTCTATGTCAGAGTCAATATGTATTACAAGCGCATCACAACGGAATGATGTTCTTGTCCTCGAATATTTGTTAGGCATTACATGATGATATTTAATAACCTCAGACATAAATGAAGAATTACTAAATTAAAGAAAAAACTCATCAAACAAGAATAAACTACATAAGAAACATCCTCATATAACGTACATTCTATTCTATTTCTCTCATAAAACTGCTCAGTTAAAGATGGTACCCTACTTTAATAAAATAAGAAGTATTTATGTTAATTATCGTAAAAAACGATAACCAACACAAATACTTCATCTTCATTATCGTTATTCGTGGTTAAGACATTCCTGAAATTACATATACTGTAGGCCTACGGGCTGAATATGATCATTGATTCATGTAAAAGGCATGGGTGATCTATGTTGTGACAGATATGCTATGTATGGCATGGACCGACGAAAAATTTGATAACCTAAACCGTATTCAATCGTTTCCGTAAGCTTTTGAAAACTCCTTAATATTTCTTTATAACAAGTGTTAGGATGTCTGGCAAAATTTCACTTGAGCCAAACATATTCCTTTGGATCTAATTATTCTATTTGAAATTATTTCGTTGCTAATTACCTAATTATTTGGTTATATATCTCTCTTGCTCTTACTTTGCAGGCACATATCTGGCCTATAGGCCTATATGTAGGCCTATATGTATGTA